ATATATATATATATATATATTCATGTTTTTATTTCCGAAATCAACAGATTTAATATATATATATATATATATATATATATATGAAGGAGAAGTTGACAAGGAAACCATGTCGTGATTGAAATAAGGGATGCGGTCACTGTACTTGGTGGATGCCTTCAGCCAGAGGTTTCAACGGGCCCTAGTGGAAAGAGTATTATATGGAGATGCGCATAACTTGGATAAATGAGATGGGAGATTGGAGTAACGGTTTACGGCACATACCGGTTTCGAGATGTAGATACCGGTGCTCAGCTCTTCGTCGCGATCGAGCGGGATCGAGAAATAGTTGGCCACAGAGTCCAAGGATAATCCGCGAAGGGTCTTGGCATCGAGGCGGGGAGATGAGATGTACATGCCGATCACACCAAACATCTACATGGCATAGATTCAGCATCTCGACCTGGAACGAGAATGGGAAGTCGGGGCTGCATCTCACCATCGTTTCGTGCGCGCCCTACGATCAAAACCGGTTAGTCCATCATTCGTGTAGTTAGTGGTGGTACTAATGCTGGGAGAGCACCACGTTGACGACATCACATTCCAAATGGACATGACCTACCCGATCGCAGTATTGGTGCAGGAGTTTGCGGTAGCCGCTTCCAAAGTTGAGGAGATCCACAAGCGCTACAAGCATCAACACGTTCAACCTCACATACCATGTACCATCACGGGGGTTACCAAGGAAGTTCACTTCTTCGTCGACCGACTTGAACGACAACGGGTATCGAATCGGTTCGCCGAGCTTGTCAAACTGCGAGCGGTCGAGACCAGCGACAAACGTAGAGATGTTGGCTTCGTTGATGGCCACATGCTTGGCTTGATGCTGCATGTACGCCGTGCAGCTGTCGCGCACGTTCGCTGGAGTGTATCGCAAGGTTGAATTCGGTCCCATCGTGATGGTCCGCGAAAATGAAATGGAAAAGCTGCAACCACACACCCTGTTGAAATTAATATCCTCCAACAATCAATGATCAGCACCGAGCAATCAATTTTAAATATTCTAACAGTAAATATTACGATAGTTTCGTACCATATCCAAGTATTAATTAATGGCCAAACCGATCCACAATCGATCTGATTGGTTGAATTTCATTGCGAAGGTTTTAATTGGCTAACATTTTGAGCTCATCTGAGGTAGCCAATCAAATCGATTTAAATTCCAACGAGAAACCACGAAATTTCACTCGAAAGCACAATATTTGAAACATCCTTTTTAAACTTTCTATGGTCCCATTTGAAACCCATTTCAAATATGTTTTAAAGGTTTCAAATGGAAGACAAGCCCAATATAAAAAGGCTGTTGTGGCAACCACGTGATTATTCGAGCTCGCATGCGATTGGTGGATTGGTTAGCAATCCGTCGATTCGATTGGCTGGCATTTCCACCACAAGAAGCCAAGATGGTATTTTAGAAAACCCAGATTTGATGGCAGACCGCGACAGTTTGGTGGCGGCTGTGGCGCGCCAAGGCGCCACGGTGCGTGAGCTCAAGAAGAATGGCGGGGCCGCCGCGGACATCACAGCCGCAGTGGTCGCTTTGAACGCGTTGAAGGCGCAGCTGAATGCGTTGGCGGAACCCGTGGGCGTGGTGCTCAACAAGAAGGCCTTGGATGACTTGCTCCTTCGCAAGATGTTTGTCGTGCCATCGTTTGAGATCTATGGCGGCGTGGGTGGGTTTTACGACTTTGGTCCCCCCGGTGCCGCGGTAAAGACCAACTTGCTCAACTTGTGGCGCCGCCACTTCCTCCTCGAAGACGACGTGCTCGAAATCGAATGCACCAACATCATGCCGGAAGTTGTGCTCAAGACGTCAGGCCACGTCGAGCGCTTCACCGACTTGATGGTCAAGTGCGTCAAGTCGGGGGAATGCTACCGCGCCGACAAGCTCGTGGAAGACTTCATCGAGAACCTCTTGGCGAAAGGCGCGTCGTCGCTCACGTCGGACGAGCAGGAGAAGCATCGGTTGGTCGCGACAAAGGCCGAGAGTCTCACCCCCGACGAAATGCATGCCGTGATCCAAGAGTATGGCATCCTCTCGCCCGGGCATGGCGCGGCGCTGTCGGCGCCGATGCCGTTCAACCTCATGTTCCAGTGCCACATTGGTCCCGAAGGCCACAACGTCGGGTACTTGCGTCCGGAAACCGCGCAAGGCATTTTCCTCAACTTTCGCCGGTTGCTCGAGTACAACGCAGGGAAAATTCCCTTTGGCTGTGCCCAGATTGGGAACGCATTCCGCAACGAAATCGCGCCCCGCGGTGGCCTCGTCCGAGTGCGAGAGTTCCAGCAAGCGGAAATCGAATGGTTTGTCCATCCTGACGATAAATCGCATGCTAAATTTGGCCAAGTGGCGGCGCAGCGCCTCACGTTATTCCCTAAATCGAATCAATTGACTACGGGCAAAACGGTACGTCCCACTTCTGTAGTACGAGTTGTATATATATATATATATATGTATATACTAACTATATATATATATATATACAAAGATGATATATATATTTCATCTTTGTAGCCTTCTCGTGTATGGTAACAACAGTGGCGATATTTTATTTTTTTATCATGTGCAAAAGAAGTGTCTTTTATTTAAAAAAAATAGAATTTGATTTTTTTTTCCTATTGCCCAATGTACGTACGTATGTATGGCTGTTTTCGGATTGTCAATGGCTTTGGATTGAAAAATATTCAAAAAATGATATACTCACCCGTATGTCGATGTATTGTTCGTTTTGAAGGTTTTCTACAATCCAGTTGCCTTGTGTATTTCTTCTATATATATATATATTTGTACTGCTGGCAAATTGGAAAACACATATTTTTTTTACGTGGAAACCCACATTTGATTCGTCCGTTGTCTACACACCTAATTGTGTGGCTTGAACGATGGTTGACAGAAAAAATATCGTTTTTTTATTCTAGTACTCCTTGACGCAGCACCATTCCTGAGCTATATATATATATATATATATATATATATCAAATCGATCTCGCATATCCAGCGTGTTGCTTGACACTATATACAACATAAGCCTGTGCTCGTTTTTGCTTGTATATCGTCATTGTTTGAATAGTCATGGTCCCTGAAATTTGGACTTGCCAGTTGAGATTCGATTTTAAGCTTGTTCCAATTATGGTATACATGATGTCTTTTTTGGTTGAGCCAAACATTCATTGGTTCGACTTTACATAGTGTAATCTGATTGGCTAGGACATCATTTTCTTACTTATATATATATATATTTATATCGTGTGTATAGGTGGTGTTGAGTGTGCGGGACGCAGTGGACCAAAAGCTGATTGCCAACGAATCGCTCGCGTACTACTTGGCGCGAACGGCGTCATTTGTGTCACTCTTGGGCATTGACATGTCCCGCGTGCGGTTCCGCCAGCATCTGGACACGGAAATGGCACATTATGCGTGCGATTGCTGGGATTTGGAGATCCAATTGAGCTCTGGATGGGTTGAATGTGCTGGCCACGCTGACCGATCGTGCTATGACCTTCAAGTACACGCGGCAAAGTCCAAGGTAGAGATGGTTGGGACACTGAAATATGACACTCCACGGGCCGTGGATGTTGTCGATATTAAAGTGAACAAGGGCAAGATTGGCAAAGCGTTCAAGGCGGATATGGGGCTAGTGAACAAGGGGTACAATTGCCGTCTGATATTTGTTTATGTCGTCCGATATTTGTATATATATATATATATTGAAGAATTTCGTTACTACTGTACACTTTCAAAATTGAGTTGCAAGTGGTTTGTCGAATCAATATGGAATCACGCGGTAGAGTGTTGTGATTGGTTGAAAATAAAACTTGTCCTTTTTTTCTGTAAGAGCCAATCAAACAAATCCACTCCACATTGTGGAGTAGTAACCAATAGCGTCGATTTGATATTCGACATTTGATGGGGTCTGGAAATAATTTGTACCGAATCCACAATATATATATATTTATTTTCCGCAAAACAGGTGGACATGTGTCGGCTGCTGGTGCTGTGAAAGTATCGATCGCCAAATGGATATGGTCGAAACGTATCGAGATTCTTTTTATGTTTGTGTTGTTATATATATATATATATATACGAAAAACGCAATATGATGTGCTGGTATGGTGATTTGTCACCTATAGCCATCGAAATCGATATGGAATGACGAGGGTATATCTATATCTCGTACAATACATACACGACATGGGCTGGCTTAATATGTCTTTTGTCGATGCTTTAGTTATTTATTATTATTTGGTTGAGTCGAAATGATGTAGTTGTTTCTTGTCTAGTGTAGACAACACACACAACGCTATATATATATATATAGCGTTGTGTGTGCATTCTACATGCTTCGATATATATATATATATATCGAAGCAGGCACTTCATATATATGTATGTATAATGCATACAGATGGATCACGTCCTGTTCAAAATATTTGTTTCGGACATTTGAGACTTGTATGGGGAAGATATAGTCCCACTCTCTCAATCAGTTTTGCTCGAGTTTTGTGTATTATATATATATATATATATGAATGTATCTCATCACACTTTATTCTTCTTCTTGTCGTTCACCAATTGCATGTATGGATTTCTTTTTTCGACAAACCTGATGGATTATTGCGTCCGTCTGTTCCCTCTTGCTACTGGCGTCGCCAGTGTAAACCCCCTGAAATGTATATATATATATATTTCTTTTTCAAACCGTTTGGTGGATA